GTCGCTTATGGAACTCCCTCCCCATTGCCCTGTGGGCTCCCTTGTGAAGGTCACAAAGGTATGCTCAGCCCTGCATCTGTGGATGGGCTGCTACTGCCGACCTGCACACATGCAAGGCTGCTGGAGAGGGAAGAGAGACAGCAGTGATGAAGCCCTGTTAACTGGAGCCCCCATGGTCAGCAGAGGCAGAGCACACAGGTGGTGAGTGTGCTCATTGCAGGGTGGCAGCCTGACAAAACAGCTAAAGCACAGGACCCTGAGCCAGTCCACTGTTTGTCTGAGCGCTGCCACACCCCACAACATCTTGGGAAGAGAGGAGGGTCTCCACACCTCAGTGTGCTCGTCTGTAGAATAGGGCTGCAGCCCCAGCCTCACTGCACCCCAGTGGGGATGAAATGACGTTAACAGTCACAGTTTTAGATTGATGTGTGGTATATGGCGAGGGCTACGTAAGCATGAGTTAATTCTTAAACACACATATTTTTAAATATCTACATTTGGTTTTGGTTTGGTTTGCAGTAGGGCTATTAAAATCCTCCTAACATGCTTGATACAGTTTTCCTGCTCTGGAAGGTACAGCACAGAAACTCCACTTCACACTACAAGAGGAATGTGGCAAATACGTCTGGTTAATTGACACTCCGCACGGCCCTGACTGTGTAAACAACATCTTTGCGAGGTTTTCAGAGCCCTTTCTATTTACTCAGTTGCTTGAACATAGGAGGTAGAGCGATGAAGCCGTACAGCTGGGTTTTTAGAAAACACATCAGACCTTAAAGATTCAATGTGGTCACCTCAGCAGGCTGGGATCACCCCCATCGCTCATGATGCTGGAGGTACACCTTGCGTTGCGGGGGGATGCACTGGGCCGGAAAAACCCGGCTGACTGTTTAGGCAGCCTCAGCAGCCTCCGTCCATCTCTGTCTGGGTCTCTCTCCTCTCTTCCAGAGCTTGTTTGGAGGTGAGAAGGACTTTAATCATCTAATATAATGTAGGGGGGGCAACCAAGGTCAAACAAGACGTCCTGAAAGTCACCCCGTGACTAGAAACCAGCCCTCCCACCATGTAAACGCACCACAGACAATGCCAGCCTTATATACTGGTTTGGCTTCTAAATGACTTTGGCTTTTCCTAAAAACTTAATCTATTTTTAAAAGATGAATAGGCTTGGCGTGGTTGCTCACGCCTGTAATCCCAGCACTGTGAGAGTTGAGGTAGGCGGATCACCTGAGGTCAGGGGTTCAAGACCAGCCTGGCCAACATGGCAAAACCCTGTCTCTACTAAAAAAAATTACAAACATTAGCCAGGTGTGGTGGTGGGTGCCTGTCATCCCAGCTACTCAGGTGGCTGAGGCAGGAGAATCGCCTGAATCCGGGAGGCAGAGGTGGCAGTGAGCTAAGATCATGACACTGCACTCCAACCTAAAAAAAAAAAAAAGACTATCTACCCCCACTGACCCACTGAGACTCTTAAGAAATGAGCAACAAACAGGCAGTGAATCTGTTCACTTGTATTAACACGTAGTATGGGCCAGGAGCATGGGTCACGCGTGTAATCTCAGACTTTGGGAGGCTGAGGCAGGTGGATCCCTTGAGGCCAAACAATTGTGATTAGCCTGGGCAACATAGTGAGATGCCATCTCTACCAAAAGTAATAAAGTGAACAGGGCATGGTGGTACACACCAGGAGTTCCAGCCACTTGGGAAGCTAGGGTGGGACGATGGCTTGAGCCCAAGAGCTTGAGGTTGCAGTAAGCTATGATCACACCGCTGCACTCCAGCCTGGGTGACAAAGTGAGACTCTGTCTCAAAAAATAATAATAAAATATATCTTTAAATAAATATATAAATTTTTAAAAATATGGAGTATGTCACCAGTCCCAGCCTACTTGGGAGGGGCGGCCCAATTTAAACTCATTTCACAGATTAGAAAATGCTGGTAAAGAATTTCTCCAGCTGGCAGGGAACACTGGGCTTTAACCTTCTGTAAGTAAAGCAAAGTCTACATCTTAGGCATTTGATGGCCTGCGGCTGGGAACTAGAGACTAGGTGCATGTGTGTGCATGCCCACACACGTCCCTTTGCCATGAAGTGAAGCCATAGGGGCATGCACACGTACACAATTCCCTCTGGCAATGAAGTGACGCGATGGTTGCATGCACACGTGCACACATACACACACACAAGTCCCTCTGGCATGACGTGAAGCCACAGCAGGTGTGCTACCAGACCCTTGGAGGCAGGAACCAGCAGGCAACAGACACTCAGAGGTTAAACCAGAGATCCGGAGGGCTCCAGTGAGCAAATGTGTCATGGGCGAGAGTCCAGGACGGCCAGAGGTGTCCATCCTGGCAGGCTAGGGACCAATATCAGGAAGGTCTCGGGGAGACAACAGGGCACCTCCAGGGCCTGGGCATCCCTGCTAGGGCAGGACCAGAAGAGCAGTGCTGAGCCTGGTTCTGGGAAACCTGTGTGCCGAGCAGATTGCACAGACAGGGTCTGATGTGCCAGGACCTGAGGCGACAACCCTGTGTTTGGTCTTGATGCCAGGCAGGCGCCCTGCTGTGAGGACCGCTGTGGGTCAGCATGGGCCTACAGCACTGTTCCTTCAATCCTGAGCTTCTGAATGGGCCTCCTGTATGGCTTCACACTTGATATCAGAGCCTAGAAAACAGAGTGAACCAGACTTGCAGACAGAGGCATGCCCCAGATCAGGAATCCTCAGGGGGCTGGTGGCAACAAAAGCTAATTTTATACGCTTTGCTGATTCCGGGTTAAAGGCATAGGGCCCTGTATTGTATGTGGTTGCAGTCTCCCACAGTAACTCCAAGATAATCTAAAAGTCTATCTCTGGTGGCCAGGCACAGTGGCTCATGCCTGTAGTCTCAGCACTTTGGGAGGCTGAGGTGGGCGGATTCCTTGAGGTCAGGAGTTGGAGACCAGCCTGACCAACATAGTGAAAACTCATCTCTACTAAAAATACAAAAAAAAACTTAGCCGAGTATGGTGGCACATGGCTGTAATCCCAGCTACTTAGGTGGCTGAGGCACAAAAATCAGTTGAACCTAAAAGGTGGAGGCTGCCTGCCTTGAGCCGAGATTGCACCGCTGCACTCCAGCCTAGGTGACAGTGAGACTGTGTCAAAAAAAAAAAAAAAAAAAATCTATCTCTACTGGTCCCTACCAATCTTGCCCTGATTCACTTCCTGTTTTTGGTCCCTCAGCCCCAATTTCAATGTCTAGATGCAAATGTTTTAATGTTACTAGGATTCATTTACACCATTAAATTAACTAACATTAAGATAGCAACACTTTACTCTTTCAGTTCTATCTGCATATTTTGAGAGAATCACAAAGAACAGAAATCATCTCAACCAAAGGAATGAATACCTAATGGTAAAATTTCAGCCACGTGATACTTCAATGGGGAAACATTTTAGGGCAGAGTAAAGCTGGCCAGTATCCATTCCTCCTTCATAATGGCACCTCAATTTCCTTTTGGGAAATTTTCTCTCCCTCATGATGCAGCCCAAGGGCTTACCTCCTATTAGGGATATTAAACATGACATAGATATCCTCCCTCCCCCACCCAAGTATGGCAGAGGAAAGGCACAGGCCCAGCTCAGCCAGTTGGGCAACGGTTGGTGGCCATACATCACAGAGGCGGCAGAATGCTGACCCAGCAGATCCTGCCATCCAGCCCCTCAGGTCCCCTCCAGTCCCTGCCCTCACCTCCCCTGGTGCCCCTACCTCACACAGATTCTATGAGCCACTATCTCCCATAGCCTTCCAGTAAAGTACTTTTTAAGTTAAATTGTCTTTCCTGTTTGCAAAGAACATGGATTCCCAAGTGTGCCATGACCACATCTATCTGCAGTAAGGCCAGTGATGGCTGGACAGAGATGGCTGGCTCACTGCACCCACTCCACGCAGAGGCTGGAAGGTGATACACCACAGCGACAAATGCCGTGAACAGACACTGCTCACACATGTACAACCAGAAACAAGCCACCCAGGTGACCTGGAATTGGGAGGCGGGAAAACTGCATCCTGTGGTCTAGTGGAAATGGGCTGGACTCGCGCATAACCCCAAAGGCCAGGCTGACAGTAGAAACATCCTCTTGCCTGCCAGTCCTCCAGTCTCCCTCCTGCCACAGGCATATACTCAGATGTGCCCAGGAACAAGTGCAGGCCTGCACACGCACGCACGCACATGCAGGCTCACAGACCTGCACACGCACGCACGCACATGCAGGCTCACAGACCTGCACACGCACGCACGCACATGCAGGCTCACAGACCTGCACACGCACATTTGGCCGGCAGGCATCCTCCTACTCCTATGTGCGGAGTCTCTCTGGGAGACCATGGCAGGCCTAGTGTCCCAAGTGGGGCCTGGGTAGCAAATGGAGAAACAGGAAAGGAAGGAATAGAGGGAGCCTCCAAAAATATGTACGCTCTTTCAGACCCTGACCCCCAGAACATTCACAATCATCTCCTCCTTCTCTGGTAGGACCCAAGAAGCCAGGTCACTGCCTTCACAAACACACATCTCACATAAGCCAGGAGTCCCGGGGGCCATACCGCTTTGCTCTGTGTAAGACTATCAGGGCCACCCAGACAGCCTCACTATAAAACAGTTCCAACAAGTGATGCCAAGCTGTCGCTCCCCACCATGCCACATCCACCACATTCTCTTCCAGTCTGGGAGCCACAGGCATTTGTGCCAACCGGAGAGGTGAGCAGGAGGGAACAGAACAGCCCAGCAGCCTCAGCACAGCGGGGACCCTCAGACCCCCTTGTGTCAAACCAGCTCCTTACAGAGCTCCATCTACCAACAATGTGGACACACGGATGAGACACGTGGACATGCACACAGGCACACAAGCACACACACGGACACACTTTTCTCCAGCCCACTGGGAGCTCCACTTAAGCAGGTTAACACTGGACTAAGAAGAAAATGGGGACGAAAGCCCATGGGACCGAGGCAGAGGCAGCTTGCTTCCTAGAACGTTTATTGGAGCCTTGGTTAAGCGTGAATGCGGGTTAGGGGCCCCGCCAGGGCCCAGCCAGGCTGACTGGAGCAGGGCGCTGGGGGGCAATGTCCTTTTTCCCCGGTATAGACAACAGTATTAAAAAAAATAAACTTTACAATAATACATTTTCGCTCATCTGTTGGGTATGATTTCCATAGTTTTGTTGTTTAAAAAAAGGAAAGAAAGGGGAAACCACACGATATATGTATATGGATGTGTATATACATATATGTTAGGAGAGGCGCCCCGGTGCGTACGTACAGCTGACGGGTATCTAGGAAATTAGGAAAGAGAACGTGGAGAGGATGAGGAGGGAGAAGAGAGCAGGAGAATTCGAGGACCAGGTGCTACACACACACGCCCGGCTGTGGTCTCTCCTCTTCCTCTCTCCAAAGGGAGACCTGCCAAAAGGACCCACGAAAAACCAAAAAAAAAAGCCACCAAACGATCATTTCTCTCTGACTTCAAAATTTCTGCCACTGAGAAAGAAGCTGGTGCCCAAGTTTTGCTGCCTCCCCACGAGGGGCTCTCCCAGGCAGGCTGAGCTCCCAAGTCCTCCTGGAGCTGGTCCCCAGCCCCACCACTTCAGGCTACAGTCAGGGGGAGCCCAGCACAGGGCTAACCCCCTCCACCGGCATCCGTGGGGGGTTCCCACACCAGCTGCAGACCCACCAGCTGCACCCAAGGGCAGAGAAGGAGGGCAGAACCATCTCCATCCTTGAAGCCCAGGGGCTGAAGGTGGACCCCCATGGCCAACTCCGCTGCCCCACTGACCAATGCCCTCTGCCAGCCCCCAGCAGGTCCCCAGAATAGACAGCTTGGGGAAGCAGCTGTGTGGTCCTGCCCCCAGCCAGCCTCGGGCATAGCCCCGAGTCCCTTCCACTGCAGGGCGCTTGTCCGGGTCTCTGCTTCAGAAGGGTCCAGAGAGAAAAACACCAGGAGAAAGTGAAGGGCATTTCTAGAGCGTCGTGCCCTCTTCAGCACCAGGGTGTCCCCAGCCAGGGGACCCCTGTGCCAGCTCTACGGCTGCCCGCCTGCTTGTCTGTTTGGTTTAGAAAAACTTCTCCAGAGAAGAAACCTGGGAGGAGACAGGTTCAGCAACAAGGTGGGAAAAACAATTTTTTTTTGCAAGGTGTGTGTATGTCTGTGTGTGTTTCCATTTCATCAGGCAGGTGTTCTCGTCTGCGTAGCTTTAGAAAATCTTCCAACTCAGTTCCCAGGGCCTACAAGGCCAGTTTCAGCATCAGGACAGACAGCACGGTCAAGGCAGCCGACGGTCTGGCTCTGCTGGGGCCTGAGTTAGGTTTGATTACCTTGTTACTCCCTGGGATGATATTTGTCGTGAGCTGAGTTCAAGGAGGAGAGTCAGGAACAGAGAGAGTGAAAACAGAGAAAACAGGAGGCCTGGATCAGGTAGAGAAACGGACTCAGGAACTGTAGACCTCAAGCCCCCACCCCCTCTTACACCCACAGGGACCCTTCTTTGCACTCTGAAGGCAGTGCTGACTCTCCCAGGGAGCTGGCCCAGGCAGGAGCAACAGGGGAATGCTCTGTCCCTTCTTGTCGCAAGCCCTGGGGTTTGGAGAAGAGGGCAGCGGTCCCCAGGAAAACAGGCTGCTCCTCTCTGCATCCCAGTGAGGAGGGAGATGGTATAAAGGGCTCCCGGAGAAGGCGCTCCCCGGCTCCACAGGGATCTTCTTCTGGAGAGGAGATGGAGACCACATTCTCCCTGTTCCTAAATTTCTTCAAATCACTCCTCCTCCATGAAGCCCTCCCTGAACATATTTGTCTGAGTTTCTCTCTCTTCCTTCTGCAAGGTCTCACAATGACTTTTCTTCCCATCTAAGTTACTATCTTGGGTCTGTAAGTCATATATATTCCTATGCTGGGAGTTTCTTCAAGGAAAGAACTGGGTCTGTTTCCACCGCTGTGCCTCCTGAATATGTCACAGAAACAGTGCTGAGCCGGTAGTCGACACAACTGTCTTAAAGAGTAAGGAAGGTATGGGAGGGCCTCTGCTCAGAGCCGCCATTTGTCTCTCCCCAAGGATATGGCCTTTGTACTCCCTCACCCCCACCCCAGCAGAGTAAGTGCCCACCCAGGTCCAGAAGCTAAGCTGGCCCAGCCCATGCAGTGAGATTTGAGGGTGCTGGATCTGAGGCTTGTCAGGGAAATGCCCCCCGACCCCGGCCCAGCCCTCTGAACCCACCCACACTCTGCCCCCAGCTCACCTCTGTGAAGCACATGCTTAACTCTTTGGAGTTGTTGGCCTTCAGCCCCTGCTCCTGCAAGAGAGAAGGCACCAGTCAGGGCAAGTCACCAGGCATTTCCTGGCTGGGCTTTGTCTAGTGACTTAGATGAGGCCCTGCCACACACTGCTGGCTTTGCTAAGCACAGCGTACCCAGTGAAGAGGGGTGGCTCAATTCCACATAGCACAAAATGCTTCTGTCCCTCTCTGACACCCTCAGCAACTAGGTCCTGACTCCTCTAGCTCCTGGAGAACAGAGGTCTGAAGGTCTCAACTAGCGGCATTATATAGTCATCAGCCATTCGCACGTCTGTCTGCATACTCAGAGCAACTCTTAGGAACCGTGTCTTCTTTTCCTTGCACTGAGCAGTGTCTGGTTCACAATAACTCAAATATTTCATTCACTAGATGCCTGTATCTATGAATGAATGAGTGAATGAATGAATGAATGAATGCTACAGATCACAAACAGCCTCCAAGAGCCAACTCCTGTTAAGTTGACATGGCTGATGGAGGGCTCTACAGAAAAAGATCATGAGTGCTCATCTGGCCTTGAGAGAAAGAGAAGCATGATTGATTAGTGATGTCTGCCACTGGTACCCATTAGGTGGATATCTGGCAATTGCATCAGGCCATTTGTGTCCTAAATGGATGTACACACCTGGAAGCACTGTGGACAAGGTGAGGGACGAGAAAGGCTGGCTTGGTGATGATTCCAGGACTCTCTACCCTGACGTGGCCACCTGGATGCAGGGCCAGAGGGTGTGCATGATGAACAGTCCTGTGCTATCATCACTGTAATGGAGAAGCATGGGAACCAGCTGGGGATGCAGCACTTCCAACCAGGCTTCAAATGGCTTGTTCCCAAGGCACTTTCAGGGAAGCTCTGGCCACCAGAAACAACTAGGAAGCCCAAGAGCTTAAGCCGAAATCACTGCTATTGGCCAGGAGTATCAATAACCCCTTGGACATCACAGGCAATCTACCACCCAGGGCATCTGGTCAGCTAAACAAGACCCCAGCTGCGCGGAGACCCCAGCCAAGAGTCGAGTCCCTGCCAATGGTGGAGATGAGACCACAGTGATGATTAGCACAGCAGAATCGAACCTGGAATGTCCCCAGGTGCCAAGGCAGCACCCGGCCACCTCCCCAGCTGTTGCCCACTGCAGAAGGGGATGTGCTCTACAGCACCTTCCAGACCCAAGGCCTGGACTCTACTCTCCAGGGCTTGGTGCTTCTCCAGCTAAGACTGTGTGAGGCCACGGGGTTGAGTAGGAGAGAAACGGAGCATGCCCACCCCCCAGAGGCTGTGCTGCCATCATGGCGTCTCATCTATCCTCCCGCACACCTTGGCCAATCTTTGCTCAGTCACCTCAGTCCCCACCTGTGACATCCTATGGCCCGCTGGGGTCTATGCGTGTGGCCCAGCACCTACGGACACCCAGCATCCCTTCCTACTCTCACTGTTTTGGGTGTGGCAGGCCAGGCCCTGCCTGCCCTTTTTGGGAGTCCCTGTCTTATCCCTGTATCCCCCCACCACAGGGCTCACTAAACACGGAGCCCACGTGGAATCACAGAGCAGAAGCCTCCTGAACTCAAGGTCCTCACCCCCTGTCCACCAAAGCAACTCCACCAAACAAATAAAAACAAATGTTTATTTGTTTTGTATATTGAGGTTATGCATAAAATTGTTTGGAAAATGGTCTATGCTGAACGAAATAAGGCTTGCAAAAACAAACAAGAAGGGCCCGGGGAGGTGGGGGGCCCGATACAATGTGCTGTGGCTATACTGCTCTCAGGGGAGCCCTGGACCTAGACACTCTGCAGAGTCACACCCAAGGTCAGCCCATGCAGAGCTTTTGGCGAAGCACCCAGCACCCTGAGCACGGCATCTTGCCTGGTCTGCAGGTTCGACCAGGTGTAAAGAGAGAGTATCTGAAAGCCGAGCTCTCTGGAGCAAAGGGGGCCTGCAACTGGGTTTTGCTACTTGGAGTGAACAGAACTTGACAGGTTCCTCTTAATGAGGATAGAGGGGAGGGGATGCTGGCAAGTATTACACAGTGAAAATGACAGGGAAGAGGAGAGTGAGGGAAGGGGTGGAAGAAAGATAGGAGACCAGGTAAAGGGAGAAGGGGAGAAAGGGAAACAGGAAAGAGGGGGTGGGGAGGGGACAGAGGAGGGGGGAGGGGACAGGCAGAGAGGGTGAGGGGACAGAGGAAAGGGGAGGGGAGGGGACAGAGGAGAGAGGGAGGGGACAGAGGAGAGGGGGAAAGGAGGACATGGGAAGGGGATGAAGCCGAGGGGGGAAAATAGCAAGAGAGGAAGGGACAGGAACAGAGGACAGAGGGAAGAAACGGAGGAAGGAGGCAACAGAGGACAGGGGAGAGAACCAAATGGGACATGAGGGGCCTGAGAATGACCCCCGTACCCTCTCATCTGATGCTGATTATCAGGGGACAGCAAAACACCTCCCAGGCCCAGCCCCAAGGGACATCTCACCCAAAGTGGGGTCTCAGCCAGAGGCAATAGGGCCCTTGGCTGGGACACAGGAACTGGCCTCCGTGAAGATCAGGGATGTGACCCTCCCCACCGCAGAGCCATCACCCACATCTAAGTCCTTTTGAGCCCGTTGGCAGTTCAGCCGGGCAGGCCTCGAGGGCGGACAGCCATAGCCACTTGATGCAGGTACCTAACAGGCTGCCCTGAGCTGTTCCTTCAGGTGCTCAGAATTGGTTTTCAGGTGTTTGACCACATGGACCCCTCCCAGTCTTCGATTATTTTTAGACTGAAGGGTCCTAATCCTTGGTGTCTATCATCACAGGACACCTCCTGGTCTGAGGTGGCCTAAAAATGGAACAAGGCCAGAGAGGCCAAAGAGGCCAGAGCCCTGGGCTCAAGTCTTGGTTCTGCCAATGACCCAGGGTGACTCCAGTGAAGCCTCAGTTTCCTCATCTGTAAAATGGGGTAGACAATGGACCTCACTAAGTGACTGTGACTGCTATGTGTGACCCTGCACATGGCACAGCCACACTCAACACAAATCCAAGGACTCAGTGCTGATCCCACAAGGGATGAAGCTGCACCACGATGAGTTCCCCATCCTAAAGCAGAGCCTGGGAGAGAAGCAGTGAAGGGTGGGGAAGGGGCTGCAGGCTGAAACCCAGGGTCAGCGGGTGGCCTGGGCCAGCCTCTGGCTCTCTCCCAGCCTCCTCCAGCCATCTTTGCAAAGTGCAAGAAGTCTCTACCCCAGATGGACACAACCACTTCATTTCCAGAAAACACAGTGACCAGAAGGTCACAGTGACCTCCTCTGATGACCAAACTCAGGCCCTTTGCCCAGTCCTGGGCACACAGAATCCTGCCTGGGGGGTTAGGGGGAGTGTTGCCCAGCAGCTGACCTTTTCTACAAGTGGCACCTTGTTAGGAATAGAGCTTGGAGTCAAAAGGGAAAACGAGCATTCAGACAATGGATTTCTCAGCAAAGCAAATTCACTTCTGCGCAAAAGGGTACCTCTCATAGGGCTGGTAGCCATGAGAGCACCCTGAACAAAGGAGAATAGAAGCTTTTATTCCTAACTCAACTTCTGCTTTTGTGTCCTTTCCAGATTGGCTGGGGTTCGCCCGCACAATCTAAACTAGGCCTGATTGGCTAAACATTTAAACTTTCTTAGATAAGGTGGATATATGATGGGAGAGAGGGGAAAGAAGGAAGGGGTCATCTGTGGCAAACTAGAGAGCCAGTCCTTTCCCAAATAAGGAAAGGAAAGAGAGCTGGTGCTGTGGCATGCCTGGGCAAGTAGTAAAATTTAAAAAAAAAAAAAAGAAGAAAGTGGAAGTGGGGGTACTCAGAATTAAAGAATAAAAGATTGAGCAGACTGTGAGACCTTGCCATATCTCACACACCTGGTGGGGGAAGGGGCAGAGATAAAGAGAGTCCACCTCTGATACCAAAACCACCAGTGGCTCAAATTCAGTGCCTCCCTGCCCTCCAGGGGCTTATAAGATAGAGAAATAAACTCTCACATATCCACCAAAATCTCATCTTGAATTGTAGCTCCTGTAATTCCCAAGTGTCATGGGAGGGACCCAGTGGGAGATAACTGAATCACAGGGCAGGTGTTTCCTGTGCTGTGCTGTTCTTGTGGTAGTGAATGAGTCTCATGAGATCTGATAGTTTTACAGATGGGGGTCCCCTGCACACGCTCTCTTCTTTATCAGTCTCACTATGTAAGACATCCCAAAAGCTCTTCATCTTCTGCCATGGTTGTGAGGCCTCCCCAGCCATGTGGAACTGTGAGTCCATTAAACCTCTTTCCTTTATGAATTACCCAGTCTCAGGTATGTCTTTATTAGCAGCGTGAGGACAGACAAATACAACTGCCTTCACAGCCGATAAATATACAGAGGGGAGAGAAGGCTGTCTGTGAGTCTAAAGAAACAGCCTGGGGCTTACTCCATCCCTACCAGGAGCCTCTCATCTCCTGGAGGCGTCTGTGGCTCAAGTCCCAAAGTGCCCAGGCCTAGGCTGCAAGGATCGCAGGACACAGGGCTGCTAACAGCAAATCAGTGGCCTGTTACCGTGGAGGCAGCACCAGGACTCTGTGGGAAGAGCTGACCCCTGAGAGCTGTGCTGTGGGTGCCACTGGAAGCAAGAAAGAAGTGGCCCTTGCAGGTGGCACTGGGGGGAGGACACAGAGAGGAATGACAGTGGAAAAGGCATGCTTCATCCTCATAGAGCTTTCTCCCACTTCTGTTGCCCAGGAAGTCAGAAGGAAATTATTGCCTTCCTCCTCTTCCTTGCCCACCTCCTCCCTATCCCCGAACACCAGGCCGAGACTGCAAGAGCCTTGCTGGTGTGGCCGAGGCACTAGTCCAGTCTTGTCCTGCTGGCTGGAGCCATGGCTCTCCTGTGCTCCCTGCTTCTGTCCCTGGTCCTGCCCCTAAATCCCAGTGCCCCTGGCCTTCCTCCGAGACCTAGATGAATCATCCCCAGTAACTCACACCTCTCACTACTCCCTGCCACCACCCCGCTCCGT